GGACTCAGCAGGTTTATATCAGGCTTGGAGGTAAACACACGTTCATGGAAAGCAGTTATTTTAGATGTAAGCTTGTGGGGGGCAGGCAGAAAGTCCACAGATTTCTCTCTAAAGTGGAAAAAAACAAAGATGGTCTGTTACAGAATTCATTTTCTCAGGGAACCTCAGCACTAGAAGTATCTGCGCAAAAGAGAAAAGAACCAGTAATTCAAATGAGCAGCGCAAACACAGAAAATGTGAGTCAAACAACACTACCCCAGTAAGTCTGGCATCAACTGAACAAGTCCTTTAGCCTTAAGTAGCAGGGAGGTAACATCCAGTTCCACACAGGTGAGTTAACTGCAGCTTCAACAACAGCTTCCAGGTGCATCAGCCAAGAGGGCGGGAAAGCATAGAGAAACCTAGCCTCTGAAACAAACATGCACAAACACAAACAGGTCAGGGAGACAAACAGAAAATGGCAGGTGAACACAGAAGCTGCCATGTCATGTTTTCAAAAACACTTTAAGGATCCATATTTAGAGTATTTTTTGCCGTTTTTACTCACTGAAGCACACAATTGATATTCAAATATGAAAAATCAAAGCACTCTCAAGCGCAGGTAATCAAATCATAAAACATAAATGAAACTAGCGCTACTTTTAAAATGTCTACAAATTTAAAAAAAAGCCCCATCTGACTAATCAGAGGCATGATTTAAAATAGTTTTTGCCTGTGAAACTCTGAAAAAGTTTCCTCTTGCTATATAAGAAATGAACATGTAAATGACAGCTGTGTTGAATTTTTTGATAAAAGTATTCATAAAAATATGCAGCATGAAAGGACTAGAGGGACTGAGAGATGCCTCAGGCTACGTCCACACTAATGCGTTTTTGTTTGAAAACACGTCGTTTCCTCTCCGTTTTGACATCCCGTCCACACTGAAATGGCGTTTTTAAACATGCTCCAGATAGCTTTTCTTCAAATTCTTTAATTCTCACTCCTTTTACTTCTGTGTTACTCGCAGCAACAACTCGACCTCATTGTTAGTCCATTTTAAAACATCGGTGCTTTCCTCTGCATTTTGCTGCAACGTTTCAAAAAGCCGTAAAGTAAATAAGCGCCACACAGAAATGAGGTAGGCTGAAGCTTCTTGCGTTTTACGCATGCGCAGTACTGGAACATAAGCTTTTTCGGCCATTTCAATGTGGATGCACAAGTCTGTGAAAACGACTGAAAACGCTAGTGTGGACTCGGAGCACACGAAACAAAAAAACTAGTATCCATAACTCGAAATTTCGAGTTATTTTTTTCAAAATTTAGACTTATTAACTCAAAATTTTGAGAAACATAACTCAAAATTTCGAGTTACTTTTCTCAAAATTTCGAGTTAGCTCTGCCAATCAAAAATCTACGTGAATGAAGTCACTTTCTTGTTACCCAGAAGCTTCCGGGTAACAAGGAAATGATGTCATTCACGTAGATTACTGATTGGCAGTGCTAACTCAAAATTTCGAGTTACTTTTCTCAAAATCTTGAGTTAATAAGTCGAAATTTTGAGTTAATAAATCTAAATTTCGAGTTAATATGTGAAATTTCATAACAGAACTTGACAATTCGAGGAAAAATAACTTGAATTCTTGATTATGATCTTTTTTTTTTTTTAGTGGGCGGAAACGGGCTTCCATAGTTACAGACGAAAACACCTTTCAAATCTGTCGAGCTAGTGTGAACGCAGCTCAGATCTGCAGAAAGTTTCATCACGTTCATGCATCGTCAAAATCCAAGACCCACAAAATTCATTTTACTTTACAGTTTACAACTCAACTGAACATTTATATATGTAATGTGTTAGATTAGATTAGATTAAGATATAGATAGAACTTTATTAATCCCTCGGGTGGGTTCCTCTGGGAAATTCGATTTCCAAAAAAGCACAGCACCGACAGAAGTTACAGAGTTACAGTTTTATATATATATATATATATATATATATATATATATATATATATACAACCCCACAAAACCACACACACACACACACACACACACACATATATAAATACAGAGACAATATAAATAAAATATACGAAGGGGATAAATAGAATAAATAGGAATAAAAATAAAAATACAAGTGAATTGCACATTTCAAGTATTGAGTCTATTGCACTGTTGACTATTTACAAAAGTATTGCACAAAAGGTATTGCACAGTGAGGTGAAGAGGCACTACAGCTTAGTTGTTCATATAGTATGTGTAAGTCATTTAGCCCTTTAAAATATGGAGTTTAGAGCTGCTGTGCTGATTTATTATTATCACCGTTTGCCCTTTTTAAACTGTTGATTTGGTAAAGCCATTTTTGGAGTTGATATGATGATGAAGAGCTGCTGTACAAACTACTCGATTAGAAACCTTAATTTCTATTAAATAATTAATTTATTTCTTTGCACAAATGATTGGAGGAAAAAGTACATACCCAGCAAAAAAACAAAACAAGTAGTTTTTTTGTTTGAGTTTACAGGAACAGGAGGCGTGATACAGCAGGAAGCATGGCCCCTGAGTCTCAGCAAGTAAGTGCGAATGTGACAAAAGAAGAAGAGACAGGAAGCCACATGCTGCTCCACTTTACAGAGGAAGAATACTGGCTTACTGTGCATGAGAGGTTGGTGTGAGTGAGCAAGAGTGTGGTCTTCATTTGTCAACACCTCTCTTCCTGACTGTGTCAGGGAACTCAGTGTGATATGGTATCTCCCAACAAACTCCCTTCCACCTACACTCCATATATTCCTTGAGGTGAAACCTCTGTTTTCTCTCCAACTATCCTCTTCCACACAGCCAAGAATTTACAGCCTCCAACACTTGAGAGCGAAATGACAGGAACTGTTAAAATATCATTGGCTGTTTTGTGATCCAATGTGCGCCTTGATCCCCGCCTGTTTCTGAAGGGAGTAACATGGAGGAATAAAAACAAGATAAGTACTATTCCGTGTGTGTCTGAGACACTGTTTCCAGCTTTGTAAGAAAGAACATTTATAACCCTGTCACATAAACTTAAATAGGCGAGACTCTATTGAGCTCCTCTCAGCCGTGACAGAGAAACCAGCATCCTTATCTGCCTCCCTAACTCCTTCTGTCTGTCATCTCAAAAGCTGACCTCTTAAACCCCTGGTGACCCCCACCAGTGGCAGACTGAATGAACCATAGGAAATATGTTGCCTCACAGGAAGCCGCTACAACTCCCTGTTGTGTACAGGGGAATGTGATGCTTTTTTTACACCATTTGACCTGGTGCTCTCATCAGCACTGACGTGTTACCTCTCTGCTAACGTTAGAATATGGGAGCACTGCAACCACTTATGTTATTTCAACGTACACACCCTGTCTTCCTGTTTCACTTGTTTGCCATATTCTTTTCTCTGGAGAAGAATATAGCAAATATTTCAGCCAATTCACTGAGTTGCAAATTATCAGAATATTAAAGTGTATTTATTTGACTTATATTATAGCTAAAGATTTTAATTCCTGGATTGTTGTTGATTTAGAAAATATTTGTACCCCTTCAAATTTTGCTCACTTTTTCATTTAGAAAAAGCTAAATGGAGAAAAGCATTTCTCCCTATCTCTCAATACTTGGTCGTTGAAAAAATGAACAGACTTTTAAATTTCAAAATGTAACCATGTGTAGCCCCTCAGTAGCATTGCTGCTTTGGACCTCTACAGACTTAGACTGGATGACTTATTCAATTCCTTTTGAAAAATCCCTCAAATCTTTTTGGAAAAGATTCAAAAAGATTTGAATTGAAAATCTTTTTGAATCTTTTTCAAACTTTATAGATTGAAAAGATCTCAGCTGTGTATATCAGCCAGGCATTTTCCTGAAGCCACTGCAGTATTGTCTTTGACTATATACTGTGCTGAAAGGTGAATCATCTTCAGTTCTAAAGCTCTATGGAGTTCTCAGTGAACAAGGGCAACTTAGGTCCAACTCTAGGATGTGTCGTTGTGACTTTATATTTATTTTATTTTATATTTATTGACTCATTGTGCTTCTGATAGCACAACTTTAGAAATAGATCAAATTTTAAAAAGATCCACTCCCATCAGTAACATTATCCAATTATAAAGCTCTGCAGCTAATAAAAATCCATGACTTTTCATGCTAACAGCAGGTTTTATCCAGGCTGAGTAACACAGGGTAGAATAGCCCAATCGTGAAGTATCCAAAGTCAAGCTACCAGCCAATTACCTACCTCTTCATGACATGGAAGCTCCTCTCAGGTTTCACTGCAACCAAGCTGATCAGGCACATGAGTCAATACACAAGCACAGCTCAGAAGGACATTGGGAATAACACTAAAAGGCAAAAACACCAGCCCCTGGTTAATAGAGCAGTACACCAGGACTAAGATCAGGAAAATCAACCTTAGTCCTGCCTGCAATGACTACAAGAAAGCCTCCAGCTCATTGTCCCACACATGGATACTAGAATGCTTGGTACTGTACAAGGCTAACAGTGCATTAATAACATTTATCGGGAACTCAGTGGGACTGTGGAAAACGACATTAGATGGCTGCTCTAAGGCAATCGGACCATCAAGTGCCTGACCAGGATTCCCAGCAATGATATCAAGATATTACTTTGACGAGATTAGTGTGGCCAAATGGTTGCAAAGAGAGGGATGGTGATGTGGAGTGAATGTGTGGAATTGCTAGAAGGCAAAATGGTAGATGTAAAACAGCTACAAGTACCCGAGTTTCCTACAGGCCAATGGGAATCATGATAAAGATGCACAAAGGCCACAGCCAAATACCTCCAGAAGGCAGGCTTGTACTAAGAGGTCAGCTGATATAAGACCTAACACCTGCGCCTGCATTAACACATATGCCATTTAGCCATCAGATACCCAGATTCAGTTCAATTCAATTTTTGAATTCAGTTTTATTTATATAGCGCCAAATCACGACAACAGTTGCCTCAAGGCACATTATGTTGTAAGGTAAAGACCCTACAATAATACAAAGTAACAAACAGAAGAGTAATAAGTTAGCTACTGGAGGAGATAAGTCCCGCTAATGTTAATACAGGCTCTGTGAGCATAGAGAAAGAGGGAGAGTGAGGATTACTTAGTTTCAGACTCACAAACAAACAAGTAGCATATGTGAATGCATCAGAGACACTCATACCAACCCCTAGGGGGTGACACGCACACTGTTTGACTCTACTGAAATTGCTAGCCATATTACATCTTTTTTATTACATCAACAGAGCCCAAATTAGTTAAGAACAGTATGTTCAGTCTACTTGTCATATGGACAGAATGTTGGCTATTGTGATAAATGTCAATTTCCAATGATTTGTGCATGAGATGTACAAGTGGCTCTTTATGGCCTGAGTATGTCCTTCACTGTAAAATCTAATATTGTGTTTAATTAAAAATATTAAATAGGCTGAACTCAATTTTTATTTTTATAAACTTGAAAAGCAGAAATTTTTAAAAACTGTTTTTGTTGATATGTATTTATTGGTCTCTGCTTTTGATTTGCCTTGCTGAAATATGTGAAATATGAGGACATGGACAAGCATGTGACCAGAAAAGACATTTCTGGCACAAGCTTGTGTTTGTGTTTGCTCACAAGCTTGTAGAGTAGATCAGTTCACACCATATATGTATGCAAATAAATATCGAGGTTGTACCATATTTCCTCTGGCGCGGGGGGGGTAAAAAGAGCAGGGAATGGAAAACAATGGCTCACTATTCTGCATTGTCCTGCTCTAATCCCCCCTATTTCACAGAATAAAAAAAAGAAAAGAAAAACATTTAACACCTTTCACAGGCTTGGCCAACACTTCCAGTTCCTCCTACACACTTAAGGTTACACAAACTCACACAACACTTGGAACATTCACAGGTTTCAAGTGTTTCCTTACTCTGTTCTCTCAGCATGAAATCAGCTTTTCATTAAAGGTTGGGGGTTCTTGTCAGTCACAGCCCCACTTCTCCCCCACCTCATCTCTTTCATCCATTCTTTATGGCTCCTCCTCCTTTTGGCACCCCATACGGCCTTTGTAAAAATTCATGCCCTGTGCCTAGCAAGGAAGTGGGGTTACATAGATCTTGTAGCAATAAAGAATACAATAAGATTTGATCAAACTTCTTTTTGTTTCCTGTAGCTAACTAGACAATCTGTAATTTACAGGCTCATGAACTCATGAATGAAATATTAAAATTGGAAAAAAAAACTATAATCTTAATAACTCTGTTTTTGTAACTATTGTCCATGATGTAAATATTTTTTCTGTAAAAGTTGTGTGTTTCTGTTCTGTGTCCTGTTCTATTTGTATACGTGCTTTTATTCTGCTGCTGTCACAAACAGCGTCCATAGCATGGAGCAGGGACGGCTGATCCTGAGCATGATGCTCATACACTCTCCACCTCCAAGCAGAGAAAAACTCCTCTATCGGATTGAGGAAAGGAGAGTAAGGTGGTAGGAACCCCATGACCATCCTTGGATGCATTGCAAACCAGCCCCTAATGAGTGGGCTATGGTGGAAATTGACATTGTCCCACACAATTACATAAATGGGTAGGTGAGGCCCTATGAGACCTCTCTCATTTTCAGGGATAAAATTGGTATAAAGGCAATCCAAGAAGATGAGGAGCTTGTGTGTGTTGTATGGGCCAAGACTGGGGATGCGACTGGCCACACCATTTTCAGAAATGGCAGCACACATAGTTATATTGCCCCCTCGCTGACCTGGGGCATCCACTGTGGCCCGGTGGCCAATAATATTACGGCCATGTCTTCGGCCCTTGGCCAGGTTGAAGCCAGCTTCATCCACGAACACCAGGATGTGAGGGGTCTCGTGTCCTTCCAATGCCATTATTCTCTAAAATAGAGTAAATAACGTAAAATCAGTCATACAGAAGAGTCATATACTACAGTTAGACAATTACATGTTCTCCCCAACAGGTTCAATATACCACAGGCCACTACTCCAGTGGTTCTAAACTAGTGATAGGCCTATGAGGAAGTACTGCAGGGGTATTTGATAGAAAGGGGAGTGGGAAATACTGATGACTTACTGAGATGTTACAGTAAAACCTACAGTATTAGATAGATTTGATTGGGAGACAACAAAATAAGGATTATAATGAGAATCGTATCATACAGTAAACTGCAGTTTTCTGTTGAAATTGTTGAAGTCAGATGAAGAAAATACTGATTCTGAAATCAGGTAAAGGAGGTATTGAAACCAAATAAGTGAACTACTGCTTACTGTGATTACAGGTAAGGTTATAATGAGAGACAACCAGTAACTGACTTACATTTACATACTGGTAGCGCAGCTCCTTCACTCTGTCAGAGTTCCTCTCAAATGGTACCCTGTAGATTTGTTTCATTGTCATCTGATGCTTCTTCAAAACCCGGTTTCTTGTGGAGATGCTTATTGTGTTTATATTCTGGAATATATGATTGTCCTGAAGGATGGCATCATGGATCTGTCTCAATGTGATGGCATTATTTGCTATCACCATGTTACAAATCTCTTGCACGCACAGTGCCCTGTCCTATACAACATATAACTCCATCATAGATTACATAGAGTACATACCTGTTTTCCCTGCGAAAGGTTTGGATGATGGAGGAGACTGTAGAGCGAGGCACATTAGGCTGCACTCGACGACCTGCCTCTGCCATTGTGAGGCCATGGTTTATGACATGGTCTATAATTGTGGCCCGAATTTCATTCGGGACAGCACAGTGTCTTCGCGCACCTCAGCCTCTTCCCCCTATTCCTCCACCACGCATTCTCAGTCCTCCTCCTATTCTTCTTCTTCTTCCTCCTCTTCCTTGAGGAAGAGCTTCCCCTTGTCCGTTTGCTTGGCCTTGTCTATCCATGTTCAGAGATCGGACTGGCTCTGGTCAGGCTCTATATATCTGTGTTTGGCAGCACACAATCATGGAACACACCTGTGTGTGACACTCCCCCTTCGTTAGTCTAGTTTCACCTGACTGTCAATGACTGTCATCAATTTATCAAATATTCAAAGAAATTCATATATGGTATTCATGGTATTATGTTCTTGACCAATTTTGACAATTGAACAGACAGTTGTGCATGCGAGTACTTACACAATGAAATCATGCTGACATGTTTTGGAGGGAATGATCATTAGACTGAGAATCAACTAATCAGTTTAGATCTACAAGATCTATTCATTTGGAAAATGTGCTAAATGTGGGCTAGCTGTATAACTGTAGGCTACTTGTACTTAATCATTTGCAAAGATGCACTGAGACAATTGAGACATGTACTAAGGCATTTGCCATTTGATAAAATGAATGAGAAATGCCATTCTGTTGTGAACATTTGCCAAGAGGTTTGGAGGTTTGTCCATGTTATTTTGAGAATGTAATTTCGGTTTCAAGAAATGAGCCAAACCAATGGAGAAAAACTGTAATCACATGATTATTGTGAATATGCATCTTGATGCATGCCCAATTATTCAGGTAAGGATATCACAGAAAGTTAATTCTGTTGATCCGGATGTAGCGTCTTCAAGTGTGACAAACTCTTTTAAATTCAGTCTCCCATTTTAAAACACTGAAGGTGTTTTGTTGTTTTACATAAATGTAAAATTGAGTTCCTGCTTATTTGACCCCCTCAGTAATTAACATTATCCTGCTATTTTCACATCTTCTCCAGTGGGCGTGGTAGTTTTTGCAGGTGACGTGTGACCTCAACGACCTTTTGACTGACTCCATCCCCCATCCCTTACTCATGTGGAAAGAATTTATTTTCAGCTTCTTAGTTCCTTTTCACTGCCCCTTTCTCCTGCAGACCCACCCTTTCTATGCTTCCTCCTGGGGCACTGAGAGTGCAGCTGTTGCTCTCAGCCCTCTATTATCCACCCGGAAGGGGTGAGTAGGCCAGGGCAGAGGAGGGTAGAGGACTAGAGCTGTGGAAGGAAAAAAAAGAAATTCAAAAAAATGCAGAGGAAAGTATGAGATGATATGTTCACATTTCTGGGAAGCAGTGGGTGTAGTCCTGGATTACTTGAACAGGTGTTACCCCAGTTTCTTTTATGCTTTGCTCTCCTCTGCTTCCTTAGAAAAACAATAAAATATGCTGGAGTAAAATCCTACAAATGTAATGGATAAAAAGGGGAAACCATTCACTTTGCCTGCAATTTTGGAACAGTGTTATATATATATCACTTGTTTCCGTAGTGACACAAAATAAAATTCAGCTTTTGTGTAATAAACCATATGTTCAGAATTAACTTCCTTTTTTACTGTAAATCTTTATTACTGTGCTTAATATTTAACATACCACTACAATAACCCTACCTTTTTTAGTTAAAACATTAACTATCCAAATCATACTTTATACATCACTGTTAAATACTTGGATACAACAATATCAAGTATCTTTGAAGTCTTTGAAGCCCGTTTTTTAATAATAAACATTAAAAACAACCTGTACCTTCTGTCTTTATTATAGTAAGTAACTATAAGCACAAGTAATCAATATTAGTAATGAATTTAGATGAAATGGTTGTCAAGTTAGTATAGGTAGACTTTTTGATAAAAAGTAAGGAGGTAATGTCATTAAAGTGTCTTAAAAATGAAGAAAAATACTACTTTAAATTCAGGAACTCTGTGGAAAGTGACATATTTGGAGTCATTTTGGAAGGAAAACGTGACTGGCACACACTGTGCATACAGGCGACATGGGGGTTATGCTGCAGAAGCTTCAGGGAAGACAGTTTTCTTTGAAAAAGTCTGAAACTTCTTTAAACACAGCCTGGAACTCGTGAAATCTGTTGATAACTTTCTGGTTTTGCAGATTCATGTAAACCACAATTCTTGTCAGTGGAGAATAAAAATGTGAACATTTCATAGTCAATTTTTAAAAAGCAATCTTTAACCAATAGCTTGATTTTGGCTTTAAACAGAAAAGGAGGAGAGAAAGAGAGAAAAGGAATACTGTATGACTTCTAACAGTTCACTCTTCGGTCAACCAGTTACTCCATTAAAACATAAAGTTGGTGACAGCAGGCTAGTGTGACTGATATTCACTCCACTAACCAGCTACTTTACCTTGACCAGAAGGAAGCCACCATGTAAACTGAACTCTGTTCCCCCATCAGTCAGTTGACTCACTCGCCATCCTATCCATCTCACTCCTCAGGATCAATTTGGCTGAGTTGAATGGGGGGTCAAGGCAATTTAATGCTCCTCCTGCATTGTAAAACAGGAGAGGAAGGGGTCAGGGACAGGCAGGTGGCAGTCAACTTTGTGTGGGCTGTCTGCATTCCTCTGTGTAAGTGTGTGCATGCTGGGGGATTGGAGGCAAGAGGGTTGACAGGAAGCAGACCACTGCCAGTGGTAAACGCCATCATAAAATGGATTGTTTTGTGTGTGGGACAGTGTGTCTGTACATTTGTGTTAGAGAGTCAGATTCCTCCACCTCTGAGAGTGAGAACTTGTTTTTGATTTGGGAATAATAGTCTAAAGTCTTAATCGTGCTGCAGTCCAGTTAGAAAATTGGAGCTTAACCAATTGGCACCACAATCTTTAATAATTAGGGCCAGAGGCTTTTCTCTTCTTCTCTTTACTGTTAGAGACATATGTCAAAATGGTCATAATTCTGTGACTGCACTTAGTAACACCAGACATAGTTGCTTATCACTTTCAACCTACTAAGTCCACTAGGCTGGACTATAGATTGGTTTTGTGACCCTTAGGAGAAAGTGATCCAGGTGATCTTTCAAACATTAGGTAAACATGTTAAGATTAATGAAAGCGACTGATATGTCTGAAATGTGTTCAATACATTGCTGATCAGAATTTTTGGAGGCAAGAAAAACATAGTTAAATGTCCACATTATCTTTTAAAATGTTGTTAAAAAGCAGAAATTCTTGCACAAATTGACAGTTAAACTGGGGAGCTACATGAAATATACTGGCCGATACGTGTCTGCAGAATACTCTAAAGTTATCCACTGAGGGTTTTTTGTTTGTTTGTTTGTTTGTCTTGTTTTTAATAAATGTTAATTTTCTTATTTATTACACTGACTGGTCTTGAAATTTTCACAAAGATAAAACTAAGTGATAAAGATAAAATAAACCTAAACATTCCACTGGCAACTTGATGGATGTTTATAGAATTAGAACTTACCTAGTATTCACTAATTTACATTAGTTAAAAATATTATTTATGTTATAATGAAGCTCTGTATCTTTGGATATCATATGAACTTCAAATCACATTTACATCTTTGGTATTGTGGTTGTTGTTGTCTATGTTGTCTTTTTTTTTTTTTTTTTTTTTTATAAAATGACATCAGAAACAGCAGTATGCGACATTACGTGATGGCAGAGCTTCAGTTCATCCTTTGTCATTTTTTTTTTTTTAATAAATAGGACAGGGGGAATGAATGAGAGAAAGAGGGGGAGAGAGAGAAAGAAAACCAAAGGGGAGAAGAGACGGTGAGAAGGGGGGGGAAAAATAAACAACTCCTGGGTCACCTGTATGGAGAAAAAAACAAACAAACAAAAAAAACAAACAGAGGAGACAGCAAACAACAAAGAGCAACATAATAATAGAGAAAACAAAGCACCATCACAATAAACTAGCTAGTCATAGATATCAATAGTTACTAAATAATAAACGATATTGTGCAGCACGCAAGATAGACAGCGCACAGTGTGCTTTGAGGCAGCAGCCAAGAAAGCTTTAGTCCGCGTCTGTGAATACCCATGTGTACACCTGTGTGCATACCTGTGTGGATCAGCATGCTTGCATTCCAAAGGTTTCTCCATGTAATGATCTGCTAGGGAGTGTGGGGGGGCCACAGCCCCGTCCTCCAGGGTGTGAAGCGGGTATGGAGGAGATCAAAACTCCAGACATCCAGAGGCCCCCAGAACACAAGAGACCATGGAAGACCAACAGAGGGGCAGCCGCGCCACTGTTCCAGTAAGAGCTGAGGAGAGTCCCAGATGAGGGCTCGCCCAGCAGCCGCGGAGCAGAAGCCAGGGGGAGTTGCAGTGAGTTGCAGCAGTTGTCTATGTTGTCTAGATGAGTTTCAGTAGGTAAGAAGGCTCTGGATTCAAATCCACCAGCCAGCCAGAGCTTTTCTGTGTGGAGTTAGCATGTTCTCCCTGTGTCTGCATGAGTTCTCAGTGAACACCTTTGATCCCACTATAAAAAGACATGTATATTAGATGATTTGGTGATTATAAATTAAGCATAGATGTGAATGTGAGTGTGAAAGCTGGTCGCCTTGTGCTAGCAGTAGTGACCTATTCAGGGTGGACCTTCACTCCAGTAGTCAAGTAGTTGGGAGAATGAATGCATGAATGAATGAGTTTCCAGTATATTAACAGCAAATTTAAATATATACTTTTTGAGGATGTTATATTATTTGCATGCAGATTTTGCAAGTGTGTATTTTAGTCAGTAGTGTTGGTTTCCAGGGAGCAAGGAAGCAATGAGGGGCTGGCCTTCTGGGGTTTCATAGCAATCACCAGTTCAGGTATGAACATAACATCCTACACAGTGCAAAAATTCACAAAAGAGCCTAACGTTAACCAAGCTGGATTAAGGTCTCTTGTCTTTATTTCTGTTGCCTGTTGCCATTTTCCTTTCACAGGGTCACCAGATAACATGTGGGGGTTGGGAAGTTCACATCCACCAGCAAACATCAGCGCTGCAGACAAACGCATGATTTCTGAGCCATTGTTGTTTCCTAGTGTGACAGATGGCTCTACCCACTTACTTCCCCTTTACTGGATATTTATTATCTTGTCATATGGCTTCTACATGACTGCTACACGGTCTGACTCACGATTCTCCGTTTTCTATTAACCAGATGTTAAATAGATAGACTGGCATAAAGGGTTGTAAATGGGAGAAACAGCTAGTCTCGTTAATGTGTACACCTTTAAACCGCAAACTGCAACAAACATTTTTTTAACCTTTTTAAGCTACGGTGTATAATACTAATGATTATAGGTTATTGAAGGAGTACTGAAGTTTGAAGAGAGCTCAGCTAGTTGTTTAACCTTCCTCCTTGTTTGTATGATAAGTTAGTTTAGCTTATCTCTCAAAATGTTAACCAGTTTTGTTTATAGAGGTAGTTATTAGAGCAAAGTCCTGCTTATGTGGCAGACACTGCATGCAAAACCAATGCAAAGAAGAACAAGTGTAGCTAAATTTCACGTGCCCTTGGCATAGAAAAGAAATTAGCCAGTTTGATTTATTTATTACCAACGAGATTAATGGTTCAATGCAAAGCTTATTAATGAGCATCAATCAGAAAAAGATCATTCTAGGTCCCTTTGCCTCCTTTTTGTGGAAGCTCAATTTGAACTAACTTGAAAAGCAGAAATCGATTGCATTCATTTCCTCTAAGATGATTCTATATGGTGTGTGCATTTTTCTTTTCTTTCTTTTTTTTTAAAAACTGGTCGTAGTTTTCTGGTAAGCTGATGTTACCTGAGAGCTCTTTCCATCAGCATACTGTAACAGCTCTTTGCTAAATCTGTTTAAATCCCTCTTTGCTCGATGGTTTAACATATCTGGATTCTGGCAGATGAGGTGATGCTGTTGACACAAAGAGCATATTTATTTCAGGGAGTTTCTCACCTTACACCTAAGTGTCACTCAAAGAGACAGAGCCTGAGGCTTGGTGATGGTGCCAGGCCTCAGACTTTATGCAACTTCTAAAGACAAGCAGTACATCAGAAGTTGTTTGTTCTTTGTTAAAAGTCAGGAGTCAGTGTGTCTGGTTGATGAAGATAAAGCCTCAAAATTGTAAAACTGCATTTAGGAAAATATACCTGAATTTAATTCATGGTGTGTTTGGAATCACTCTTGCACACACAGTGATATGTACATATTTGGTTACTAAGTGTAGTACATGGAAACAATGCTCAATTAAAATGTTTCCTTGAGGAATAATTTATATTTTCGCCTTTGGACAAGCTGTTCTTTTGGACATAGTCTTGTAAAACTGTGAATTTATATTACTAGAATTTGCTTTGAATTTGCAAATT